ATCGGCCCTGGGGAAGACCCACCTGTGACCGGGGTGAGTCCAGGCCCTGCATCTCCCCAACAACGCCCTGCTGCCCGGTCTCTTTCTTGGGCCTGTTTGAAAAGAGCAGGGGTTGGTGGAGAATTGCACACTGCTTCATGCCCGTTGCTGTACAATCCCAGCCCCTCCTGCTTAAGGTGACAGGGGAGGGGCACAAAAGCCACTCTTGTTCCACACCTGGGAAAATGTCCTGTTTGCAGCTGTAGGTCCACCGTGGCCAGCAACACCAGGGCCTCCCTGGTGGTCTCCTCCTATCCCTGGTGGCGACTGAGGGCCATTAGGCAAGATTTAGGCGAGCAGGAAGCCACAAGTCATCCACGACCCTCCACCCCGCCATCTATACCCACTCCAGCGCACCCCCAGCTTTCTGCCTGCCTTCTCCCACCCTCCTTCCTTAGTCAGGGCTGGGGTCTCACTCCCCACTGGAGTTGGTGGGTTTCTGGAGTGCAGCAGTTGATGCCAGACAGGAGGAGTCCAGCCCTTTTGATTCATTCACACAATCAGTGCCTTCTGCTGCAGGAGTGACTCACTCTCCAGGCATCAATCTAAACTCTGACAGGCCGGAAATCCGGCATCAGCCCTGGGAGGCAGCAGCTCATTCACTCGGGGAAGGACGGACGGGGAAATGGCCCCCAGGAGGAATTCCAGCCCCCACCCCCCACCCGTGGCAGGTCCCCGTCCTTCCAGTCTGCAAGTCTCCCATGCATGCTGACTGCGGGCAGGGGGTGGGTGGGGGGGTGGGTGGGGAAGGAGAGGGAGGATTAATGCCCCCACAGAGCTGCTACCACGGAGGGTGTGGCCGGACACGTGAAAGACCCGAGCTGGCCAAAAGAGCTACCTGGAGGGAGAAGCCTCCCCCCCTCCCGCCACCCCCCCACCTGCTTCCTTGGCTTCCCACAGCTCCACCTGGCCGAGCAGACCTTCCTTCCTGTTGCTGTTCCTTCTTGGCTGGGAACTTTTTCTTGCCGCTGGATGCTCTTTCGACATCCAGATGCAGTGGAAGAAGTGCTTCCCCCCTACAAGGGCGGCAGAAGAGTCCTCTGGGGGGCCCTGCACTCAGTTCAGGACCCCCGGGATGCCTCCCTTTCACGGGGAGGGTGGGGGGGGGGGCAGAACTGTGGGGCGTCTGAGGGACTGAAGGGGCTCTGCAACTGAAAGACTTCACTTCAGCCTCTCCTTCTTTGCAGCTACTATCAGTTTTCTCGTTCCGTTGGGAAGTTTTCTCCAGAATTGATCCAGTGGATCCACCTTCCCGTCACCTAGATCGTGGCTCTGTTCTTCATTCTGGAGTTACAAGAATTAGTCTTCTTTTTTCTCTAGGCGTCATTCTTTCAAGGCTTGAAGATGGTTTATCGTATCTCTTCTTAGCCGTTTTCCCTCAAGGCTAAAACTTTTTCCTTCCTTCCATCTTCCTTCCCAAGATCCCCTGAACAACCACTTCCTCCCCCTCCCCCTCCCTTAAGCTGTTTTATAGATGGTCAGAATTCCTCTTAAATTTGGGGGTCTCCTTGGTGCCTGGACTTGTTGGCTGGGGATGTGCAGTGCTGGGTGGGCAAAGGAAGCGGGAGAGCCATGACTGAATTGCTCTCCTCCAGCTGGGTGGGGCTTCAGTCTTCATAACCTTCAGCCAGCTTGTCCTCTGCCTGCAGCCCCCCCCCCCCCCCAGTTGGGAAGACTGGGCTAGATGGGCAGCACCTTTTCCTGTTGTATCTGACAATGTTTGGAAACCCTGGTTTCCTAATCCCAACTGGCCATACTTGGCGTTTCCTTTTCAGACCCTAGAAGAAGACCACCCTTGGGAGGACGCTTCCATCCCCAGGGCCGCAGAGAGAGCCCCCTCCCTCCCTCCTTCCCTCCCTCCCTCGAAAGGAGCACCCAACAAGCCTTTGGTGTTCCGTGCCCGGGTCCAGATCCTGGCATGTGAACAGATGGCTGCAGGAGTTGACGTTGCCCCAAGTGGAAGAAGCCAGGACACAAGCCACCATGGGTCCCCCCCCCCCTGTTCCCGCAAGCACACTCTTATACTGGTAACTCACTAAGGGGGAGACGTGGGAAAGAGGAGGGAGCCCGCGTGCTTTGATTCGAGCACCGTAGACCCCGGTTTGCTCATCCCCTCCATCGTAGTTCCCAGGTGAGGGGTGGTCAATGCAGAAGGCAGCGCAGCTTTCTGCACCCCCAAGGACACGGAAGGGGGAAGGGAGAGCCGCCGGGACTGCAGGGGAGGGGAGGTGACTCACCCTCTCCTGAAACCTCGCACGGATCCAAAAGGAGTCGCGCCTGAGAGGACAGGGCAGAGAGGAGGGAGAGGGAGAAGAACGGAGCGAGGCGCGGAGCTGGAGGTAAGCACGGGTGGGCCGGAGGGAGGGTTCTGCGGCGGCCGGTAGGCGCGGCAGGGCACGGCGGCCAAGGCTCTGCTCGGGGCGCTGGCAGAAGGACCGCTGCGCCGATCTGGGGTCCCCGTGTTTATCCCCTGCGCGCTCCGGAGAGACCTCCCGATCCCGCGCTTGGCACGCGGAACACGGAGTGCACGCAGAGGCGTCTCAGCGCGCGTGCCCCCAGTTCCGCCCCGCCCGCGCATGGCCGCCGAAGATGCTCCCCCGGGCCGCCGCCAGCTTTCTGGGAAGGCACCGCCGACGCGATTCGGGAAGAAACCGCGGCTCCGTTTCTTGGCTCGGGCAACGGGGAAGCCCCTGCGAAGCTGTGGAGCGATTCCTCGGGGGCTCCCTGGACCTGGGCCCCTCCCACCCTTCCCTCCGAGTGTCTCATTCATTCACCAAATCCACGCCTCTCCTCCTCCTCCTCCTCCTCTCCTGCGGCTTTCTCCTCCTCGGCTGCTCCCGTTCTCGTGCTTCATTCATCCCCTCCGCTCTCATTCATTCAGCCACAGGCAGCCATTCACTCGTTCACTCGACGGGCTGGGTGGCCATTTCGCGCAGGCGCGGAACTCCCCTCCAATCCTGCTCGAATTTTATGAATGAACATTGACGTCAATCGAGGCCCCCACGTGGGCCTGGCTGGAAGTACAAAAGCAGCAGCCGCCCAGCCCCGCCGCTGTTCAAGGTGCTGAAAGGCGACCCGGCAGAGAGCGACGCCCGAGAAAAGGCAGGCGGCGGCGGCGGCGGCGGCGGCGGCGAACGGGCGGACCGGGGAAAGGGTGGAGTCCCCGGCGGCGCAGCTACACCCGAGCCGATAACGCGCTCCTCCTCCCTCCCGGGCCGAGAGAAACGTCGGTGAGCGCTGGCGGGGTGGGCGGGAGCGCCTCCCTCTCCCGAGAAGAAGGGGAGGAGGACACCCCCCCCCCGACCTCGCCCATCCACGGAGGGGGGGGGGATTTGCTGGGAACGAGAGGCGAGCGAGCCACGCGATCCGGTGCCAGGAGAAAGCCGGTCGGCGAGGGATCCCCGTCGTAGGGTGGGAGAGCCCGGGCTGCGGGCGACGAAGCCAGATCGCCGAGCCTCCGGGAGGTGGACACGGCCGGGGCAAGGGGAAAAACTTGCGTCACTCCGGCATCCAAGCGGGAGGGACCCAAATGCCTCAACCTGGCTGAGTCGGGCTCGCGGGAGAAGCGGGAGGGAGACCTGGCTCCCGTCGTTGTTTTCTGGAGGAGGAGTGGCGAGGCTCCCGGAGGGTCTCCAAGGAGAACGGGGAGGCGTCGTAAACACTGCGGAAATCGCCCAGGCTCTTTCGAAGAGATTCCGGAGAGGCGGAATCGATCGGCAGGAAAGGATCTGGGGCGCGGCTGAGGGGTCGAGAGGCCGAAGGAGACCCTAGAGGCGGACGGGCGAAAGGAAGCAGGGTCTCCGGAGGGAATCTGGAGGGGAGGGGGCCGGGGTTGCGCTTCCTCAGCACTCCCTGCCGGCAGGGGCGGCGGGTGTGGGGGACTGCAGAGCGGTCTGCTGCTGCTGCTGCTCTGCCGGGGGAAGGAACGGAAGGCTGCTCCTTTCCCTCCTCCACAGGACCATCTGCACCAGTGACTGGGGCGCGGGGGGGGGGGGGGGGGGGGGGTGGGGGGGGGGGGGGGGG